GTCAGGAGATCGAGACCATCCTGGCTAACACAGTGAAACCCCGTCTCTACTAAAGATACAAAAAACTAGCCGGGCGAGGTGGCGGGCACCTGTAGTCCCAGCTACTCGGGAGGCTGAGGCAGGAGAATGGTGTGAACCCGGGAGGCGGAGCTTGCAGTGAGCTGAGATCCGGCCACTGCACTCCAGCCTGGGCGACAGAGTGAGACTCCGTCTCAAAAAAAAAAAAAAAGGAAACTGCGTTAGAATTAAGCAATTAACTGTGGAAATGACTTTAAATGGTCATAAAGACACAATTGACAAGGAAATTTGGTTGTTTATGTAGCCTATAATAATTTAACATAACCATAATTATGTCTGATAACATATACTGAGATATATGAGAATTTTCATAATCGTATACAATTTTGGAATATATATTAATATTTATAAAAATATAACTCAAAGTTTAAACATCACTTCTTATTTGACACTGTTTCTCATGTAATTTTATGTGTAAAATAGCCTGTTTATTATCTCTCTTGACTGTTGCCTAGGCATAGCTGTAAGGTAGAATACTCAGTTCTTCCAAAATTAAGGATCCCATTTTTTGCCTTGAATCTTGGTGGGTGGATCATCTGAGGTCAGGAGTTCGAGACCAGCCTGGCCAACATGGTGAAACCCCATCTCTACCAAAAATACAAAAATTAGCTGGGCATGGTGGCGGGTGCCTGTAATCTCAGCTACTTGGGAGTCAGAGGCAGGAGAATTGCTGGATCCCAGGAGGTGGAGGTTGCAGTGAGCCGAGATCGCTCCATTGCACTCCATCCCAGGCGACAACAGCAAGGCTCCATCTCAAAAAAAAAAAAAAAAGAGAGAGAGAAAGAAAGAAACAAAAGTCATAGACATAGGGCACAAAAATCTCTGTGAATTTACAAAAGCCAAAGTTCACACCTTCTTATTTGCCATTAACTGCCAGTTTCTGCCTGACTCAGTTAAACATCCAAGGCCTCTCACTGAATCCAAGTCAGTTAATTATCAGATCCAGTCTGATTCTGGACCTGGTCCAGTTTCTGTGATGACTTCTGAACCCATTTCAGATTTTAAAATTTGCTCAAACAAATTCAGATAGCTCAAAACATAAATCGATGGAGTTTCAGAATCTGAGTGCTTACCCACAATCCCCAGTTGCTGCAAGAGAGGAGTAGACACGGTGAGTCTGACTGGTACCATGCATTGTCACTCAGTGCTTCTGGGGATTGCTAGAAACTCTACTTCGGATCCCACTTCTGATACCATCTGTTAAAAGAAAAACTAGACAAATTAAATTTAACAGAGTTTAATTGAGGAAACAATGATTCACAAATCAGGCAGCCCTTAGAACCAGAATAGGTTCAAAGAGACTCTGGCACCACCATATGGTTGAAGACTTATGGACAGAAAAAGGAAAGTGATGTACAGAAAATGAAAGTGAGGTACAGAAACAGCTGGATTGCTTACATCTTGATATTTGCCTTATTTGAACATGATTTGAACAGTTGGTTGCCTTTGATTGGCTAAAACTCAGCAATTGGTGCAAGAATAGGTTACAGCTTGTTTACACATGCAGATGACCATTCACTATGTACAGAGAAATCTTTAGGCCAAACTTTAAAAATGTAACGAGACAGCTTTAGGTGAAATTTAATGTGACACTACCTACCAGGTGAGGATTAACTAAGATCCTTATTTTTCTGTTGAGGATCTTGAAGGAGTGGTTAAACTCCTTGTTTCTGTTTCCTTACTTTCCAAGATGTGGCTTTCATCTCCACCACTTTTTCTGTCTTCTTCAGATTCTGTCCTTCAGCTTCAAAGTGCTCAAAAATCTTCTGTTCAATTTTTTTTAATCAGCAATTTTCATATTACCTAACTTAATCTCTTAGGCTTCCAGACCTCCATTCTCGCTCCTCCCTTGAATCAGTGCTCTGCTAAAACTGGTTCCTGGAAGATTTCCTGTATCTTTATGCTTATCAGTTCCAATGGTCTCTTCTTAGCCATTATTTTTCTCAAAATTTGACCCCACCACCCCCCCTTTTTTTTTTTTTTTTGAGATGGGGTCTCACTCTGTTGCCCAGGCTGGAGTGCAGTGATACAGTCACAACTCACTGCAGCCTTAACTTCCCAGGCTCAAACGATCCTCCCACCTGAGCTTCCTAAGCATCTGGGACGACAGGCATACGCCACCATGCCCAGCTGATTTTGTTTTTTTGTATACATAGGATCTCACTATGTTGCCTAGACTGGTCTCGAACTCCTGGACTCAAGCAGTCCTCCTGCCTTGGCCTCCCAAAGTGCTGGGATTACAGGCGTGAGCCACCACACCCTGCCAACCTTCTTGACATCCTCCTCTCTTACCTTCTGGTTCTTTAGTTTACATTTTCTGACTTCTTTTCCTTTTCATTAGCTATCTCCTCTCCTTTGGGATTCTCACACAGTCTCAGGGCTTCTGCTGTCACCCTTGTTTGAGAAATTTGGCCGTCATGAAAGAACACCAACTCCACTTGTGACTAAACCTACTCTGAAACATTTAGGCTTCTCTTTGACTAAGAGTAACATTCAAAATCAGTATGACATTTATTTATTTATTTTATTGAGACAAGAGTCTCACTCTCTCACCCAGGCTGGAGTGCAGTGGCATGATCTCAGCTCACTGCAACCTCCACCTCCTGGGTTCAAGCGTAAAATCAGTATGACATTTAATATCTTTCACCAGTCTCCTAAGTCCTTTATCGTTACTCCATTTTCACATATTCTGGACAAAGAAACTGAAGCACTATATTCCTTCTATCTCCCTGGCCTTTTTTTCCTGTTTCCACTCATGCAGCCCTTTACTGAGAATGCCTCCTTTCTCTCTCTACCCGTCAGTATCCTCTCCGTTTGTCAGTTTTTGTGCAAAATACAATTGTATTATAATGATTTTATAAATGTATCACCTCTGGAATCTAATTTTCTTGAAGAAATGATCCTTGTCTAATTTAAACCTCTACTTATATAAAGTATGCCAATAACGAAACATTCTTGAGTGATACAGAGACCAGTTTACCTCAGGCCATTTCAGAATTTGCCTTGCCTTCTTCATGGCAAGAAGAAATTAGAATGTGAGAAATAAAATTTTTTTCTATTTAATTCTGTTCATCCCTTTTTATTAATCCCAAATCTCTAAATGGATGCTTTAATGATCACGTAATATATTTTTTTCCTCCAGAGTTTTTATCCCCCTGCTTTCAAGTGAAATGTCACAAGATGGCTTATTACAATGCTATGATTATTTGACCTTGAAAGGCAAAAAAAAAAAAAAAAATTTCCAATGTTTTTCAAACTTGAACTTTTTTTTTTTACTTTATATTTGTTATTCACAGCTTGAATAGATGTCTCAGAATCATGGGTTTGTGGCTCTTGTTCAGGCTGAGTGAAAATACTCAATTTCGTACTTCTTTAATTAAGCACCAATAAGGAATAAGAGAAGGGAATTTCTACAAACTCCATCTCTGTCCTGAAGGAATCAGTGTTTTGAGCAAAGATCACTCAGATTCTTGACTTAGGACCTCAGTTGTTTTAAAAACAAGTGAAGCAATTGTTGCTCATTATTGCTTATTTATACTGAATTCAAAATTTTCTATAAATATCAAATTGGTGGCCAGGAGCAGGGGCTCATCCCTGTAATCCCCAGCACTTTGGGGGGCCAAGATGGGTGGATTGCCTGAGGTCAGGAGTTCAAGACCAGCCTGACCAACATGGTGAAACCCCATCTCTATTAAAAATACAAAAATTAGCCAGGCGTGGTGGCACATGCCTATAATCCCAGCTACTTGGGAAGCTCAGGTGGGAGGATCTTTTGAGCCTGGGAAGTTGAGGCTGCAGTGAGTTGTGATTGTATCACTGCACTCCAGCCTGGGCAACACAGTGAGACCCCATCTCAAAAAAAAAAAAGAATTGGTTTTGGGGGGTTTTCAGTGTAAATGAAAGTACATTAAAATGCTGCCTGCCTCATCTGTTTGTTTCGAGACAGAGTCTTGCTCTGTCACCTAGGCTGGAATGCAGTGGCACAATCTTGGCTAACTGCAACCTCCACTTCCCAGATTCAAGTGATTGTCCTGCCTCAGCCTCCCAAGTAGCTGGGACTACAGGTGCCTGCTACACCACCAGACTAGTTTTGTATTTTTAGTAGACATGGGTTTTTACCATGTTGGCCAAGCTGGTCTCAAACTCCTGACCTCAAGTCATCCTCCTGCCTCGGCCTCCCAAATTGCTGGGACTATAGGTGTGAGGCACCGCACCCGGCCTCATCTGTTTTTAAATTTTGTTTTTATATTTTTAAAAATGTCCTCTGAGGGCATAATCTTTTCTGCTATCCTAGTGTGAGATAGGTAATACTATAGAAATTCTGGCTCTACCATAATCATTTGAGCTTTGGCCAAATATGTCATATCTATGAAACTGTTTTCTGACCTGTAAAACAGGAATAATACTTGCCCTGCCTCTTTCTTATGAATCTTGTGAGATGAAATTAGAAAATATACAATACCAAAAATGTATCAAGCTTTTACCATGGTCTTGGGTGGTGTGCTAAGTGCTTTACATGTATGATCTCATTTAATCTTCACACCAACCCTGTAATTGAAGTAATCCTTTTACAGATGAGGAAAACTGAAGTAAGTGCCTAAAATTTTATAGCTAGTACATAGCAGAACTGGGAATGAAACTCTCCATACTAACTCTAGAGCTGAGCTCTTAACCAGCGTATACTATTAGTAATGCTCCTTGTAAACTACAGGATGCCATGTAACTGTATAGAATGTTCTTAGTTTGCAAAATGGATTACTGACCGACCATTGCCTTTGATGTCAGTAGTCTGGTGACCTCTCATATATGGAGCACACAAATCTTTGCTTCATCCTTCCATTCCCTTCCCAAACTTCCCATTACTACTTTGTAGGAATTCATGACTAGACAAAGGTTTTATATTTAGTGGTTTCTCCTTCTAGGGGTTTCACAGACCAGCTGCGTAAGATTTCTAAGGATGCAGGGATGCCCATCCAGGGCCAGCCATGCTTCTGCAAATATGCACAGGGGGCAGACAGCGTAGAGCCCATGTTCCGGCATCTCAAGAACACATATTCTGGCCTACAGCTTATTATCGTCATCCTGCCAGGGAAGACACCAGTGTATGGTAAGGATATCTTAAGACTGCATTTTTCCTCAAGTACTTGATATCCTTTTAGGATTATGCTAAAACATATCCTAAAACCTTCAAATACTAAAATATATTTTATGGTACAGTATTTTAAACCATGTATTATTACTTGAAGACAAATTAATATAGAAAACTAAATAGTCCAAGATGAGACACTGTAAAAAGAGTTTCAATAGTAAAAAGAGGCATCACATAACAATGGCTAAAGGAAGAATTATTGAGTAAAAATGGCATTGAGATAATTTGAGTATCAGTATAATATAGTGGTTAAAAGCACAGGCTATCAAATTAAACTGTGTTTCTCAATATTCAGGTACTGCTGGTTCTATTACCTGTGTAATTTGGCTGAATTACTTAATCACACTAGCCCTTAGTTTCCTCATCTCTGGAACTGGGATACTATTTATGTGTGTATGTGGTATGTATGTATGGGATAGGATCTCACTCAGTCTTTCAGGCTAGAGTGCAGTGGTGCAATCATGGCTTACTGCAGCCTTGACCTCTTGGGCTCAAGCAATCCTCCTGCCTCGTCCTCCCAAGTAGCTGGAACTACAGGCATGTGCCACCACACTGGGCTAATTTTTAATTTTTTTGTAGAGACAGGATCTCACTATGTTTCTCAGATTGTTCTCAAACTCCTGGGCTCAAGCAATCCTTAAACCTTGGCCTCGCGAAATGCAGGGATTACAGATGTGAGCCACTGTGCCCAGCCTCTTTCTGGTTTTAATTGGGCATTTTATATGATTCTATTTTCTTTCCTCTTTTAGTGTATCAGTTATACTTCCTTTATATATAGCACACATACTGTGGGATACTAATAATACCTAATCCATATATAGGGTAGTTGTAAGGATTAACTGAGTCTAGGTATACAAAGGGCCTAGAATAGCACCTGTCATGTAAACAGTAAATGTTAACTTTTATTATTAAAAACAAAATTTTGTGAGATTAATAAGCTAAATATAAATCATTGAATCATAGAAAAATACAAAGAAAATATAATTTTCAAACCACTGAATGGGGTAAAATCATGTAAGTTTAGAAATAATAGAAGAAATCGAAAAAGAAAATTGTCAGATTTGATTGAGTAAACACTAAAATTTTTTTCTTTCTTTTTTTTTTTTTTGAGACAGAGTCTCGCTCTGTCACCCAGGTTGGAGTGCAGTGGTGCAATCTCAACTCACAGCAAGCTCCGCCTCCTGGGTTCATGCCATTTTCCTGCCTCAGCCTCCCGAGTAGCTGGGACTACAGGAACCTGCCACCATGCCTGGCTAATTTTTTTGTATTTTTTAGTAAAGATAGGGTTTCACCATGTTAGCCAGGATAGTCTCAATCTCCTGACCTCGTGATCCTCCCACCTCAGCCTCCCAAAGTGCTGGGATTACAGGCATGAGCCACCACACCTGGCCTTTTTTATTTATTTATTTATTTTATTTTTATTTTTATTTTTTGAGACAGGGTCTCACTCTGTTGCCCAGGCTGGAGTGCAGTGGCATGATCGCGGCTCACTGCAACCTCCACCTCCTGGGTTCAAGCTGTTCTGCCTCAGCCTCCCTAGTAGCTGGGTCTATAGGCATCCTGTGCCACCATGCCTGGTTGATTTTTATATTTTTAGTAGAAACAGGGTTTCACCATGTTGGCCAGGGTGGTCTCAAACTCCTGACCTCAGGTGATCTGCCCACCTTGGCCTCCCACAGTGCTAGGATTACAGGCGTGAGCCTAAATTTCCTACGTGTCACAGATGTACTAAAATGGAAAGAAAACCAACAGAGTGTGGAAAATATTTGTAGCAAATAGAAAAATATTTGTAGCAAATAAACAAGTAGTTTATTATTAGTTAAATAAAAACCTTTTTTTAGATTAATGAGAAAAGAATGTAAACTGAAATTTTTTAGTAAAAACAAAGCAAGTAAATATATGAGAAAATATTTGTTTTTATTAGTAGTTAAAGAAAAATTCAGACTAGATGCGGTGGCTTGTGCCTGTAATCCCAGCATTTTGAGAAGCCGAGGTAGGCAGATTGCTTGAGTTCAGGAATTCGAGACTAGCCTGGGCAACATGGCAAAACCTCATATCTGCAAAAAAATAGAAAAATTAGCCAGGCATGGTAGTACACATCTGTGGTCCTAGCCATTTGGGAGGCTGAGATAGGAAGATTGCTTGAGCCCAGTAGGTGGAGGTTGCAGTGAACCAAAATCATGCCACTGCACTCCAGCCTGGGCAAGAGCAAGATGCTTTCTCAAAAAAAAAAAAAAAAAGTACCAATCAATAAAGGGAAAAATGTGCTACTAAATTAGCAAATATATTTAAATATTATAATACCTAGCGCTTGTGAGTATGCAGTATATTAATACATTGCTGATGGTAGTATAAATTGATATTACCCTTTTCATCAAAACTGTAAACATGCCTGGGCTGGTCTCAAACTCCTGCCCTCAAGTGATCCTCACGCCTCAGCCTCCCAATGCTGGGATTACAGGCGTGCGCCACTGCTCCTGGCCCCTCCTGGTTTTAATTGAGCATTTTGTATAATTCTACTTTTCGTTCTCTTTTAGCTTATCAATTAGACTTCCTTTAAAATGTTTTGTGTTGTTTTCCCTAGACTTTTTAATATATATTTACAATTAATCTAAGTCTACTTTTGAGTAACATTATACCACTTCCTAGATAGTGTAGAGATACCTTGTAACAGAATGCTCACAATTTTTCCCTTCTGTACCTTATATTTCTGTCATTTATTTCACTTATCTATTAGCTATAACTACCCAATACACTGTTGCTATTACTATTTTGAACAAATAATCATCTATTAGCTCAATTAAGAATATGAAAATACAAGATTTTATTTTACCTGTATTTATTTGCTGACCTTTAAACTTCCTTCTTACTTTTGTTTTGTTTTGTTTTTTAGAGACAGGTCTTGCTATGTTGCCCATGCTGGAGTTCAGTGGCTATTGTCAGGCATGACCACAGCGCACTGCAGCCCCAAACTCCTGGGCTCAAGTACTCTTCCCACCTCAACCTCCTCAGTAGCTGGGACTCCAGGCATGACCCACACTGTACCCTGCTTTTCCTTCATTTATGATTTCTGATCTGTATCATTTTCCTTCTCTCTGGAAAATTCTTTTAATATTTCTTGCTAAGCATTTCTACCAGCAAGAAATTCCTTGTTTTTATTTGTTTGAGGAACTCTCTATTTCTCCTTCATTTTTTTTTTTTTGAGTCACATAATGATTTAATATTTACTTGCAAATCATTCACTCACATAATTTCAAGTGCTAAGTCATTCTGGAATTCTTACATTCTGACATTGAGAATATTCACATGTTGTACAGCCATCATCAGCATCCATTTCCAGAACTTTTTTTTCATCATCCCAAACTGAAACTCTTTATCCATTAAACAATAACTTTAATATCTATTAAACCTCATGTAACCCCTAGAAAGCACTGTTCTACTTTCCGCTTCTATGAATTTGACTATTCTAGTTTCCTTGTGTACATGAATCCTATAATATTTGGCCTTTGGCATAATATCCTCAAGGTTCATCCATGTTGTACTATATGTCAGAATGTTCTTCCTTTTTCAGGTTGAATAATATTCCATTGTGTGTGTGTGTGTGTGTGTATATATATATATATATATATACCACATTTTGTTTGTATTGATGGACACTTGGGTTGCTTCTACACTTTAGCGATTGTGTAATGCTGCTGTGAACATAGGTGTACAAATACCTCTTCACAACCCTGTTTTCAGCTATTTTGGGTATACACCTAATAAGGGGCATTGCTGCATCATATGGTAATTCTATTTTTAATTTCTGAGGAACCTCTGCAGTGTTTTCCACAGTGGCTGCACCATTTTACATGCCCACCAACAGTGCACAAGAGTTCCAGTTTCTCCACATCCTCACCCCAATGTTTGTTATTTTCTGGCTTTTTCATAGTAGCCATCCTAATGAGTGTGAAGTGGTATCTCATGTTTTTGATTTTGCATTTTCCTAAATGATTGTAGAGATGTTGGACATCTTTTCATGCGCTTATGGGTCATTTTTCTGTTTAGAGAAATGTGTATTGTCATTTGCCCTTTTTTTTAAGGCAAGGTCTCACTCTGTCACCCAGTCCGGAGTGCAATGATATGATCATAGTTCGCTGCAGCCTCCATCTCCTGGGCCCATGCAATCCTCCTGCCTCAGCCTCCTGAGTAGCTGGGACTAAAAACATATACCATCATGCCTGGCTAATTTTTTAAAAAAATTTGGTAGGGATGGGGTCTTGATTTGTTGCCTAAGCTGGTCTCTAACTCCTGGGCTCAAGCAATCCTCCCGCCTCAGCCTACCAAAGTGCTGGGATTACAGGTGTGAGACATTGCACCCATTTTTCTGTTTTTTATATATAAAAAGTTATGCTGGGTGCGGTGGCTCACACCTGTAATCCCAGCACTTTGGGAGGCCAAGGCGAGTGGATCACTTGAAGTCAGGAGTTCAAGACCAGCCTGGCCAACATGGCAAGACCCCATCTCTACTAAAAATACAGAAATTGTCTGGGCATAGTGGCTCATGCCTGTAGTCTAAGCACTTTGGGAGGCTGAGGCGGATGGATCACCTGAGGTCAGGAGTTCAAGACCAGCCTGGCCAATGTGGTAAAACCCCATCTCTACTAAAAATACAAAAAAAAAAATTAGGGCATGGTGGCAAATGCCTGTGATCCCAGCTACTTCAGGAGGCTGAGGCAGGAGAATCGCTTGAACCCAGAAGGTGAAGGTTGCAGTGAGCCGAGATTGCGCCATTGCACTCCAGGCCTGGGCAACAAGAGCGAAACTCAGTCTCAAAAAAAATAAAAAATAAATAAAAATACAGAAATTAGCTGGGCGAGGTGGCACACACCGGTAATCCCAGCTACTCGGGAGGCTGAGGCAGGAGAATTGCTTGAACCTGGGAGGCAGAGGTTGCAGTGAGCTGAGATCACGCCACTGCACTCTAGCCTGGGTGACAGAATGAGACTCCATCTCAAAAGAAAAAAGTTATGGCTGGGTGCAGTGGCTCTTGCCTGTAATCCCAACACTTTGGGAGGCTGGGGCAGGAGGATCACTTGAGCTCAGAAGTTTGAGACCAGCCTGGGCAACATGGTGAGACCTCATCTCTACTTAAAAAAAAAAAAGGCTTGGTGTGGTGCATGCCTGTAGTTCCAGCCACTCGAGAGGCTGAGGCAAGAGGATCGCTTTAGCTCAAGTGATTGAGACTGCAGTGATCCGTGATCGTGCCACTGCACTCCAGCCTGGGTGACAGAGTGATGAGATCCTCTCCAAAAAAAAGAAAAAAAAAAAGTTACACACACCGAAATATTTATGATGGTTATAATGGCAGAGAGGGGAAAGGAACAGGGGACTTTTATTCTTTGTGCTATAATACCTCTGAATTTTTAAATTGAAGATGAGAGAATAGGATTGAAAGCTGTAAGTGTTCTGTGATTACAAGTACATTAAAATGATATAAATGAGAAAATTATTGGAAGAGAGTACTATAAAATGGTAACAAGGGAATATGTACATGTTTCATTTTATGCTTTTCAGTTATTGCGGTTATACTATGATAAAAATATACCTTTTATACAAAGAAGAAAACAACTAGAAAAATTGTCACTAAATACTTAAGCTAATCTTCAAAGCAGTATAATTTCAATTTTAACAGCATCACCTTAGTACTGTATTGGCATAATTTTTGGTATCCTGTAATACAATGATGTATTTTAAGGGGGAAACATAGTAGCTTTATTTTCAGTATGTAAAATTGTTTTCAGGTCTTTTTTTCTGACTAGAGGTTTTGCATCTGTTCCGTAGCGGAAGTGAAACGTGTAGGAGACACACTTTTGGGTATGGCCACACAATGTGTTCAAGTCAAGAATGTAATAAAAACATCTCCTCAAACTCTCTCAAACTTGTGCCTAAAGATAAATGTTAAACTCGGAGGAATCAATAATATTCTTGTACCTCATCAAAGGTAAGATATGCTAATCACTTATGAAAATATTATTTTTTATATCTTCATTTGTCTACATATGACCATATCTAACTACTATAAGAGCTGTGTAAGAGACCCCCTTAATAATTCCTACCGTGGGAGATTCATAGGCATTTTGGTAAAAAATTAAAATAATCTGGATTGGCAAGGGTCAGAGATTCTCTTGTGAAAATGTCCCCCACAATTTTGTTTTATTTTTTGTTTATTTATTTTTTTGAGACAGAGTCTTGCTCAGTCGCCCAGGCTGGAGTGCAGTGGCGCGATCTCAGCTCACTGCAAGCTCTACCTCCCGGCTGCCTCAGCCTCCCAAGTAGCTGGGACTACAGGCACCTGCCACCATGCCTGGCTAATTTTTTGCATTTTTAGTAGAGACGGGGTTTCACCATGTTAGCCAGGATGGTCTCGATCTCCTGACCTCGTGATCCGCCCACCTCGGCCTCCCAAAGTGCTGGGATTACAGGCGTGAGCCACCACGCCCGGCCCTTTGTTTTATTTTTTAAGCAAAGAATGAAGCAACAAAAGCAGAGATTTATTGAAAATGAAAGTACACTCCACAGGGTGGGAGCAGGCTCGAGCCCCAGCAGTTTTCATTTAGTATGCAAAGTACCTCTTACCTAGCCAGAAAGTATCCAGAGATTGATTTCTCACTGGAGAGCCCAGCTTGAAGAATTTTCACTTTATTTGGTAATCATCTTCAATCTGGTTTCATGAGGCTGCTCACTTACCTGGAATGTGAAGGACAGAAGGACCTGGGGGCCCAGATTAGTCAATTAAGTAAGCCATATCAGCCCTCCTGCTGTAGTCAGTGAGAAAGCATATTACTGTTCGATCACCCTTCTTCGAGCTAGAACTCTTAGGAAGTGTGAGACACCACGACCTAGAAACAGAAGGTAGCTTATTGTGCAAGTCTCTGAGGAAGAGGCCACTTTTCAGAGAATTGAACAAGTTCCCTTTTAATAGTTGAAGCAATTAGGCCTCCAAAAAGTTAACTACCCACCACAAATAAACATTAGAATAAGGATTGGACCATGTTTTTTCCTCTTTTTCCATGCCACCTCTACTTTCTACCCCTGTTCAATATGAGATGAGATCCATAAATGAGATAAATAAAGAATTTTATCAACAAGTCCAACATGGTGAAACTTCATCTCTACAAAAAATAGAAAGATTAGCCATGTGTGGTGGCACGTGCCTGTCGTTCCAGCTACTCCAGAGGCTGTGGTGGGAGGATTGCCTGAGCCCGGGGAAGTCAAGGCTGCAGTGAACCGTGATTACACCACTGCACTCCAGCCTGGGCAACACAGTGAGACCCTGTCTCAAAAAAACAACAATAACATAAAGTAAAATAAAAGGAAATGCTAGCTACTTTATGACCATTGAATATATGTTACTCAAATTTATACTTTCGGCCAGGGCGTGGGAGTAGTAGATTCCCAAAACCCCTTCCAGTCTAAAGTGTAATGATTCCTTTTTCCCTTGAGAGATTACACAGGTTTAAAATATAAGTTGATTTTTAAACAATGATAAAAATTTGTGGATCATAAGGAAGTTTATAATTTTGTGCCCATGTTGGAGAATACTAGCATCTGTTAATATGAATATAGCCCTTTTCAACCACCAGCATCACTATTTTAGACAAAATTCTGCTGTGAGTAAGACTTTGGATTACATAGGACTTCCTCTGTGCTGTCAATAACTTGAAGTTATGTTGCAATTGTGTGAAACAGATAAATGGATAATGAAAAAATGAAATATCTAACCCTTTTTCAAAATGTGTTGAAGACCTTCTGTGTTCCAGCAACCAGTGATCTTTTTGGGAGCCGACGTCACTCATCCACCTGCTGGTGATGGAAAGAAGCCTTCTATTGCTGCTGTGAGTGTTCGCCAGGTTTATCTTACCTGACGTTGACAGACCAGTATCAATTTTGCAGTTTCCAATTTTTGACTTTTAATATTTTCTTTGTAGCCAACTTTCATAAGTGTTCTTTGGGTTTTTGAAAAGAGTGATTATTCTCTGGTTTGGGGTTTACAAGTTCCATATGTAACTATTAAATCAAGTTTGCTAGTTATATCATTCAAATCTTCTGTATTATACTTTAATTTGTCTACTTGACCTCTCCATGATTATGCATTTTTAGTTACTTTTTGTTGTTTTGAATAGTTTGTGTATTTCAGTAATGTCTTTGTCATAGAAAGATGCATTACATATAAGCCTGGTGGATTACATTTTTTAACATATAAAATGTCTTCTACCTTCATCCAGTTCAATACTTTGCACCTGAATTCTTTTATTTTATTTTACTTTATTTTATTTCTTTTTTTCAGACAGAGTTATCTTGTTGCCCAGGCTGGAGTGCAGTGACACAATCTCGGCTCACTGCAACCTCCGTGTCCCAGGTTCAATCGATTCTCCTGCCTCAGCCTCCCGAGTAGCTGGGAGTAGAGGCACCTGCCACCATGCCCAGCTAATTTTTCTTATTTTTTAGTAGAGACGGAGCTTCACCATGTTGGCCAGGCTTGTCTTGAATTCCTGATCTCAGTCAGTCCACCCGCCTCTGCCTCCCAAATTGCTTAGATTACAGGCGGTGAGCTACCACGCCTGGCCAAATTCTTTATTTTACTATTGCTGCTCCTGCTTTTAGCATCTGCCTATTTTTAATTTGCTCTCTAGTTGTAACCTTTTTGTGTCAGTTTAAGCGTGTTTCTTATAAACTTGAGAAAGCCTGATAATATTTTACCCATTTTGAAAATCACTTGATTTTAACAAATAACCAACATTTTGAAAATATGAACATATTTTAGGCTTATTTAATAAACTTCAGAAATTAAACTGTAAGATTTAATTGGCCAGGCGCGGTGGCTCATGCCTATAATCCCGACACTTTGGGAGGCTGAGGCGGGTGGATCACTTGAGGTCAGGAGTTTGAGACCAGCCTGACCAACATGGTGAAACCACATCTCTGTGAAAAATACGAAATTAGCCTGACGTGGTGGCAGGTGCCTTAAAGGTACCTACCTGGGTGACAGAGGGAGACCCCGTCTCAAAAAAAAAGATTTAATATTTTTTCTATGATCCATTGTAATCTTCACATAAATCGTACGTTTTAGGAATCTGATAAATACAATTCATCCCTGAAAATGATAGTAATATTTAAATTTTCACTTCAAGGTTTCAAAGCTATTTTTATTAGTATAAAGGAAATTAATTTTTATCTATTCTCTTGCTTTGTTTTTTTTTGTTTTTTGTTTTTTGTTTTTTTTGAGACAGAGTCTTGCTCTGTTGCCTAGGCTGGAGTGCAGTGGCGCAATCTCTGCTCACTGCAAGCTCTGCCTCCCGGGTTCACACCATTCTCCTGCCTCAGCCTCCTGAGTAGCTGAGACTTCAGGCGCCCGCCACCACGCCCAGCTAATTTTTCGTATTATTTTAGTAGAGACAGGGTTTCACCGTGTTAACCAGGATAGTCTCGATTTCCTGACCTCGTGATCCGCCCACCTCGGCCTCCCAAAGTGCTGGGATTACAGGCATGAGCCACCACGCCCGGCCGTGTATTTTTAATGATATTCATGAATTATTTTCTTTAAATGTTCAGTGGTTGTATTGAGTCATCTCTAACATTCATTAAAGTGTTCTTATAGATGATAAAATGATAAAGAAAGGAACTCAAAAGACTTCCTTGGATTTGCTACTTTGAGTCATTTTCCAAAAGGTTTAAGGATATTTTAATTCCATTGGACTTCTGGTAGTCATTGTCTTTTTCTACTAAATCCATTTCTACCAAATACCCACTTTCTTTTATGGTTATCAGAAATCTTGTAAATAGAATTTATTGGTTGATTCTTTTTCGGTATATGGCTTCTATCCCCAAGAACTTAGAGAGTAGTGTGAGAAACTAATGTAAGTAATGAAGGCCACATAGTACAATAGGTGTTATCACGATAACGAAGTAACAACATTTAAGTTGCAAGAACCTGGTGTGTTTTGGGAATGTTGAGAAATATAAGGAATTGGAACATAGTATACTGCAGGCTATGAGGCTAGGAAGCTTTTATGAGGCATTTTGTTCCATCCGAGGGGTCTGGATTTATTCTTAGTAGCGAGATACCTTTCAAGGGAAAGAAATGGTCAAAGTTCCATTTTTGAAGCATGACTTTGGTATAGGTTAACTGGAAGAAAGACAGTCTGGAGGCAGTGACCAGCTCTAGGCTCTGATCAGAATAATGTTATAAGTTCATGCTTTGAGGTCTCTTCTCCAAAGACATAACAATATTAGACACAGAGAGAAAATTAATATAGCTGGTTTCAAAACCAAGATTAACTTCTCTGAGGACCAGATACAGAACACAAATACAGCTCAATAAGACTGTATAGATTCAGGCCGAGAGGGAAAATTCTGATTTTAAAATGTATGAAGCGTAACAGTTCTAAGATGAAGCTAAAGTCTTAAGTATGGCTTCTGAGATAGGTTGCTAAAGTGGAAGAGATAGGAAGAAAAATCAGTGGTTTGAATTGGTCCTTATTTTTGCTTATTTCCTTTCTCTTACTCTCTTATACACATCTTTTTGTCTTTTTCTTTCCTCACTAATCTTTAAGTCTACCAACAACACAAAGAATCTAGTTGTTAAATGTATAGTTCAGCCTAGTTATAAGAAAAATAGTTTTTTACCCTATACTAGGTGTTTTATTCTGTTTTTCAATGGGAAGTACTATTCTTTTTAATTTTTTTAGAAGATGGGGTAGGCTGGGCGCAGTGGCTCACACCTGTAATCCCAGCACTTTGGGAGGCCAAGGCAGGCGGATCACGAGGTCAAGATATCGAGACATCCTGGCCAACATGGTGAAACCTTGTCTCTACTAAAAGTACAAAAATTAGCTGGGTGTGGTGGCGCATGCCTGTAGTCCTAGCTACTCTGGAGGCTGAGGCAGGAGAATCGCTTGAACCCAGGAGGTGGAGGTTGCAGTGAGCCGAGATCGCACCACTGCACTCCAGGCTGGTGACAGAGCAAGACTGCGTCTCAAAAAAAAAAAAGAGAGAGAGAAAGAGAGATGGGGTCTTGCTCTTTTGCCCAGGCTGGCCTCAAATTTCTGGGTACAAGTGATCCTCCTGCCTCAGCTTCCTGAGTAGCTGGAACTACAGGCACATGCCATCATACCCAACTCAGAATTACTATTTTTGATTACTTTCAAAGTAAACAGTGATAAACGGTAAGGTTACAGTAAAATAAAAATGTAAATGAATTCATGTAATTTTGATTATCATTTATTTTTATTTATTTATTTATTTTTACTTTTTCTAACCTAGGTTGTAGGTAGTATGGATGCCCACCCAAGCAGATACTGTGCCACAGTAAGAGTTCAGAGACCCCGACAGGAGATCATCCAGGACTTGGCCTCCATGGTCCGGGAACTTCTTATTCAATTTTATAAGTCAACTCGGTTCAAGCCTACTCGTATCATCTTTTATCGGGATGGTGTTTCAGAAGGGCAGTTTAGGCAGGTTGGTTACCTAGAATCTCATCAGACTGTGGTGAAATCAGATATTGTGTTTATAATATGGCGTCTAGTTCTAGAGTTAAAAACCTTTTTAGAGTTCCCCAAGTCAAAACTTGGTGTTTTCTTAGATCGTCTTTTTGAAAATGTTTGCTACGAATGTGTATACCTTACTTGTTAAGACCATGTTCTGATAATTATTAAAATGGAATCAAGAAGCATATTAGCTTTAGAGCGATGAAATTAAGGAATCCTGAGATTAAATCATTATCCTTCTTTGAAGTATATAAAAACAAATAGCTGACTATATTGAATCTTTCCATTTCATATTCTCTAGGTATTATATTATGAACTACTAGCAATTCGAGAAGCCTGCATCAGTTTGGAGAAAGACTATCAACCTGGAATAACCTACATTGTAGTTCAGAAGAGACACCACACTCGATTATTTTGTGCTGATAGGACAGAAAGGGTAATCTCACCTCTGTTGTAATACTATTGTAAACCAAGCTTATCCAACATAGTTCATAGAACATTCAACAAGGGCCCTCTGCCAACAGCAGGGTTTCCAATATACAGTAGCAAATTTCAACAATTACATTATGAGTATAGAAGCATCAAAATAGATTATTTTTAACTTTCTAGAATTTCTAGTCACACTCCAAATGTTCAAAATCTCATTCTACTTTTTTGTTGTGAAGAAACTCATAGTTTTAAAATTATTTTTCTATTCATATTTTCCTAAAATCTTCAGAAAAAAAGGTACATTGTCTTTTTAAAATATCTGATACAAATTAGTTTTTTTAAAAAGTGGAAATTCAGGCCAGGCCCAGTGGCTCATGCCTGTAATTCCAGCACCTTGGGAGGCCAAGGCAGGCGGATCACTTGAGGTTGGGAGTTCGAGACCAGCCTGGCCAGCACAGTGAAACCCTGTCTCTACTAAAAATACAAAACTTAGCCGGGCGTGGTGACACACATATGTAATCCCAGCTACTCGGGAGGCTGAGGCAGAAGAATTGCTTAAACCCAGCAGGTGGAGGTTGCAGTGAGCCGAGATGGTGCCACAGTACTCCAGCCTGGGCAAGAGAGCAAGACTGCATCTCAAAAAAAAAAAAAAAAAAGTGGAAATTTATACATACTAACTTTTAAGCCATGTTTCCTTTAAAGTTCACAGAATCATTTTATGCATTTTATAATGTGAATGTATATTTTTTATAATTAGGAAGGAAAGAGAGGTATAAATACCTAAGGAAACACGTTTTCTTATCTGTGTGCAGCAAGATAGCAGTCTTACTGTCTTACTGTCATTTTCAGTGCTCTGACCCCATCTGTCCCCATCCTGCAAATCCTGGAGCAGAGAAATCTAATGGTACCAAGTGTTGTGTCCCCTTGAGAAATGGATTTGATAGAAAGGACTACGAGAGGGGTGTTTGTCTTTGCCATACATACTCACTGTGTTCCTTTGGGCAGGCAACTTAACATCTCTATACCTGCTTATTTCTTAGCAAGATTGGATAATATTAATGTCTAGCTTATTTAGGTTGTTGGGAGAATTAAATAAAGTACCTAATGCACTTAGAACAGGGCTTGGCCCACACTTAAGTACTCATTAAAGATTGGCTAGCTCTCATTAGTATCATGATGAGGACAAAAAAAAATTTTAATAAATAAAGTTTGGCTAGCTGTAGGGTGGTGGTGATAGTGATAGAACAGAGAAGAAGAAATAATAATAGATATTTTTCTAAGTATTACTTATAAATGTAATCAATTTAACCCTCACCAACAAGATTATGAGGTAGTTTTGTTTTTGTTTTTGTTTTTGTTTTTGTGACAGTTTTGCTCTGTTGCCCAGGCTGGAGTGCAGTGGCACGACCTTGGCTCACTGCAGCCTCCGCCTCCTGGGTTCAAGCGATTGTCAGGCCTCTGCCTCCTGAGTAGCTGGGATTACAGGCATGTGCCACCACGCCCGGCTAATTTTTGTATTTTTATTAGAGACAGGATTTCACCATGTTGGCCAGGCTGGTCACAAACTCCTGGCTTCAAGTGATCCGCCCACCTCAGCCTCCCAAAATGCTAGGATTATAGGTGTGAGCCATCACACCCAGCCTACAACTTTTTGTATGTATTAATTAGAAGATTTGTGTGTTGCTAATTGATTAGAGTTAAGTGTTTTTTAAGACCAGGCATAATGTAATAGATGATGAACTGTTTTATTTTGTGCTTGGTGAAGTGAAGCTGCTTGGTCCACACCACTATAATTCAAGGTACCACCTTTATAACAGTCACTCACTTATAACAGTCATTCACGTGGCAAAATAATATCTGAGTCAGTAAAATAGTTTCTTTTTTTTTTTTTTTTTTTTGAGATGGAGTCTTGCTGTGTCGCCCGGGCTGGAGTGCAGTGGCCGGATCTCAGCTCACTGCAAGCTCCGCCTCCTGGGTTTACGCCATTCTCCTGCCTCAGCCTCCCGAGTAGCTGGGACTACAGGTGCCCGCCACCTCGCCCGGCTAGTTTTTTGTATTTTTAGTAGAGACGGGGTTTCACCGTGTTAGCCAGGATGGTCTCGATCTCCTGACCTCGTGATCCACCCGTCTCGGCCTCCCAAAGTGCTGGGATTACAGGCTTGAGCCACCACGCCCGGCCAGTAAAATAGTTTCTGATTTGCTAGCCTTGTAAACCTAGAGTTACAGTTAATGATTTTTCAGTACGTTGGGATAAGGCGATGGAGGTGGGTATAATAAACATTTTTAAGTGCTTTATAAGCTTGCATCATCAGAATTTTGAGTCATTTCAGTTATATTTTATCCACTCAGAGAAAATCGTGGTGTCTGTTCTCTTACAAGATGTTGAAACTGATAGTATGAAATAAAAGGAATAAGGCCTTTGCAATTATTTCATTGTTTGAATCCCAGTTCTGCCCTTTATTGTGTGCTGTTGAGCAAATTATTTTGTATTCCTGAGCCTTTATTTCCCTAAACAAATAGAAATAATCCCTAACTTGCAAGATTGTTATCAGGATTTAGAAATAATGTGTTTGAAGTGCCTGACCCATAAATGGTTAACAAATGGTGTGACTGTTGTTGATGCTGTCAGCATTCTGTCTCTCTAAACATCTAGTTTTCTCCAAGGTAAATGCTGATCTTCATAAATCACATGTTCAAGAATGCCTGCTATGCACAGGTACCACAAATTAGAGCACTTTAAGTTAATTTAAAAAAATTTTTTTTTAGTGTCTTCCACCCATAGTGGGGTCAACTATCAGCTAAGCAGTAGTAGAGACTATATTAGGCCTTGTTGTGTACCAGCGCTCACTTTCAGCAACATTTAAGAATAGAAACTAGGACCTGCATAAAGTCTGCTCCGAATGACTGCTTAAGTCATATTTCAAGGTGAAAGTAGTGAAATGTAGGATCAGCCTATGTATTCATACATTTTTTAAAGTGCTTTCAGATACATTTTTACCTTTTTCTTGTTTGTTTAAACTTTAACCAAACAAATCTAGGTTGGAAGAAGTGGCAATATCCCAGCTGGAACAACAGTTGATACAGACATTACACACCCATATGAGTTTGATTTTTACCTCTGTAGCCATGCTGGAATACAGGTAAGCCTACACTTTGGGTAAAATATTTTAATACAAGAACTGTCATTCTTACATGTATTTTTTAAATCTCAGAAAAAGGATAAAGAAATACTCATTACATTCCAAATTGTTTCCACATGAAATTAGATGAAACTTTCAGTAAACAAATGTCTTCCCTTTCCTTACCTTGAAAGGGACTTAGGAACTTATTTTTATGAAAATATCAGAATATAAGTAGTTTAATAGAATGAATCTCCCTGAAACAGGCCCTTAATTTACCTAAAATGTTTTTAAAAAGTGAAAGTACCTGATTGTTCCTTTAGCATATGCGTCTTTAAAAAAAAAAAGAGAGAGAAAGGAGAGAAAGTACTATTTTGCTCAGGCTAGACTAGAATTCTTGGGCTCAAGCAGTCCTCCCACCTCAGCCTCCCAAGTAGTTGGGACAATAGACCTTCACACTCAGCTAATGATAACATTTTATAGAAAACTTTGACATGTACTAGTAGGTATTAAGCATGTGAAAGAGTGTAATTGAGCTGGGCATGGTGGCTCACACCTATAATCCCCACACTTTGGGAGGCTGAGATGGGCAGATGCTTGAGTTCAGGAGTTTGAGACCGGCCTGGGCAACATAGAGAAACCCTGTCTCTACAAAAAATACAAAAATCAGCCAGACATGGTAGCATGTGCCTGTAGTCTCAGCTACTCAGGAGGCTGTGGTGGGAGGATCACTTGAGCCAGGCAGAGGGAGGTTGCCGTGAGCCAAAATCGTGCCACTGCACTCCAGGCTAGGTGACAGAGCCAGACCTTGTCTCAAAAAATAAAATAATTTAATTGTACAATTACAGCTTTACTTTTTTTTTTTTTTTTTTTTTGAGACAGAGTCTTGCTCTGTTGCCCAGGCTGGAGTACAGTAGCATGATCTCGGCTCACTGCAGCCTCCGCCTCTTGGGTTCAAGTGACTCTCATGCCTCAGCCTCCCTAGTAGCTGGGATTACAGACTAGGATTACTGGGTGCCACCACACCAAGTAATTTTTGTTTTATTTTGTTTTTTTCTAATAGAGACAGGGTTTCAACATGTTAGCCAGGCTGGTCTCAAACTTCTGACCTCAAGTAATCTGCCCACTTTGGCCTCCCAAAGTGCGGGGATTACAGGCTTGAGCCACTGTGCCTGGCCTTAAGTTTCAGTTAAATAATTTTAAAAGTTTTTCTTATCCTTTCCAGAAAACCATTTCATTAATGTGTTAGCTTTACTTGGTAGAACATAAGCTTTAAATCAGTGCATCTCAAACTTCCCAACAACAGAAAGTTCCCAGGATGTCTGAGAGTCTGTAACCCAAAACTATTTTAGGTTACTTGCCATTGATTAAGATAGGAATTTCCAGATGTCTTACTATTCAGCTCTGTATCTTACAGCTGTATATATCCAACATGTACCAACCTGTTTTGGATTCGTGGCTTTAAATTATTGTCCCACTTATTTATCCATGTTCTTATATCAGCTCCTCTTTACAATTAATGTTGTACATTTTCAGGATTGGTAGTTAATGGGCGGTCCAGAGGAAGTGATGTCAGCAAGATGGCTGACTAGAAGCCCCTAGTGCTTGCTACCCTCACAAAGAAAGCCAGAAAAACAGATAAACAACTACATTTTTTTTTAACGGAGTCTCGCTCTGTCACCCAGGCTGGAGTGCAGTAGTGTGATCTCGGCTCACTGCAACCTCCGTCTCCCAGGGTCAGGCAATTCTCCTGCCTCAGCCTCCCAAGTAGCGGGGATTACAGGCACCCACCACCATGCCCAGCTAATTTTTGCATTTTTAGTAGAGACGGGGTGTCACCATGATGGTCAGGCTGGTCTCAAACTCCTGACCTCAGGTAATTCACCTACTTCAACCTACCAAAGTGTTGGGATTACAGGCATGAGCCACCATGTCCGGCCTTTTTTTTTTTTTTTTTTTTTGAGATGGAGTCTTGCTTTTGTCGCCCAGGCTAGAGTGTAATGGCATGATCTCAGCTCACTGCAATCTCCACCTCCCAGATGCAAGCAATTCTTCTGCCTCAGACTCCAGAGTAGCTGGAATTAAAGGTTCCTGCCACCACGCCTGGCTAATGTTTGTATTTTTAGTAAAGACGATGTTTCACCACGTTGGCCAGTCTGGTCTCGAACTCCTGACCTCACGTGATCCACTCGCCTCAACCTCCCAAAGTGCTGGGATTACAGGCATTAACCACTGCACCAGGCCAAACAACTATATTTTAATGAAAATAACTGAGGGAGAGCCCTGGAGTGCATCAGAGGAGTAACAGAAACCCTGGTATGCACAGAAACTTGGGATGACCACACAGAGAACAGAAAGAAACACTGAGCCTCCACTACATCTCCAAATCAGGATCAGCTGGGAACCAGCAGGAACTTCTCTCCTACAGTGAACGGATAAGCAAGAGGATCCCAGCAATCCCCATCAACACCTTGGACACCTACACTGGGGTCCCCAGCACTGTTCTTAGGCACTAAGCCCATCTGGGGGAGCTGCCTGGAGTCCACTTAAGTGTACCCACCCCCTACCCGAGAGAAGGAGCTGATACTGTGCTCCATGCACTATGGTCCAAGCAGCCACTGCACTACTCCATCTTGGCAGTGGAGCGGTAGAACTATAGCTGGAGTATGTCTTGCTGCAGGGGCAAGTAGCCATGACTCCTCTTTATCGTTAAGGCTACGCTATCACCAAATTACCCCAGCCCAGTGGCCTGACAGCCCTGTCGAGCTGCAAGCACCTGTTACACCTTGTGCCTTGGCCACTTAAAGAGGTCATACCTCGGCCAGGCGCAGTGGCTCACACCTGTAATCCCAGCACTTTGGGAGGCCAAAGCAGGCATATCACCTGAGGTCAGGAGTTTGAGAACAGACTGGCCAACATGGTGGAACCCCGTCTCTACTAAAAATACAAAAAAAATTAGTCGGACGTCATGGTGTGCACCTGTAGTCCTAGCTACTCCAACCTGGGCAACAGAGCGAGACTCCGTCTCTATTTAAAAAAAAAAAAAAAAAAAAAGAAGTCATACCTCTCCAGTGCCTAAATTAAAGTAGTATGTTGTGTCTCAGGAAGGAGTGCCTTAGTCATCCAGAGCAGTCACACACGCCAGTACCTAAGCTGAAGTAGTGCCCTGCATATCAGGGAGACTATGTGTGGGCCACCCAGAACAGGCATAGCCCTATGCCTGAGCTGAACTGGTGCTGGGGAATTGGTGCCCTGGAAGAGCTGAGCAACTCTGTATCCCATAGATATTGGGATAGCCCAAATATATTGAGATACAAGAAAATACCAATAGACAACTCAACAAAATTGGGAAAGCAGGCCGGCCGCAGTGGCTCACGCCTGTGATCTCATTACTTTGAGAGGCCGAGGCAGGCGGAATACCTGAGGTCAGGAGTTCGAGAGCAGCCTGACCAACATGGAGAAACTCCGTCTCTATTAAAAATACAAAATTAGCCAGGCGTGGTGCGCATGCCTGTAATCCCAGCTACTTGGGAGGCTGAGGCAGGAGAATCGTTTGAACCTGGGAGACAGAGGTTGCGGTGAGCTGAGATTGCGCCATTGCTCTCTAGCCTAGGCAACAAGAGCAAAACTCTGCCTAAAAAAAAAAAAAAATTGGGAAAGCAGTTCGCAATATGAACAAGAAATTCAGCAAAAAGATAGAAATTTAAAAAGAACCAAACAGAAATCTACAGCTGAAGAATTCAATGAAAAATACAAAATACAATAGAGAGCTTCAACAGACGATTTGATCAAGCAGAAGAATATCTGAACTTGAAGACAAGTCATTTGAAAAAAAAAATCAGAGTCAGAAAAAGAAGAAAGAATGAAAAAGAGTGAAGAGCGGCTCTGAGACTTATGGAACACCAGTAAGCAAATAAATATTTGTATTATGGGAGTTCCAGAAGGAGAAGAGAAAGGGAAAGGTGTAGAAAAATCTACTTAATGAAATAATAGGTTGGGCATGGTGGCTTACACCTGTAATCCCAGCACTTTGGGAGGCCAAGGTGGGCAGATCGATTTAGCTCAGAAGTTTGAGTCCAGCCTGGGCAACATGGTGATACTCCATCTCTACAAAAAATACAAAAATTAGCCAGGCATGGTGGCATGTACCTGTAGTCCCACCTACTCAGGGGGCTGAGGCAGGAGGATCACTTGAACCTGGGAGGTTGAGGCTGTGACAAGCTGAGATCACACCACTACACTCTAGCCTGGGATGACAGAGTAAGACCCTGTCTCAAAAAAAAAGAAATAATAGCTGAAAACTTCCCAAATATGAGGAGAAATATGGACATCTAGATCTAGGAGGCTCAAAAGTCTCCAAACAGAACAGTCCCTAAAAGGTTCCTCCCAAAGCACATTGTAGTCAAATTGTCAAGTCAAAGACAGACAGAATTCTAAAAACAACAGAAAATCATCAAGTCACTTAGAATCCTCATTAAACGAACAGCAGATTTCTCCACAGAAACTTTATAGGCCTGGAGAGATTGAGATGATACATTCAAAGGACTGAAAGAAAACAATTGTCAACCAAGAATGCTTTACCCAGTTGAGGATCATTTGAGCTCAGGAGGCAGAGGTTGCAGTGAGCTCTGATTGCACCACTGTACTCCAGCCTGGGCAATGGAGTGAGACCCTGTCTCAATCAGTCAATCAGTCAATCAATAAGAATCCTATATCCAGCAAAGCTAACTTTTGGAAATGAGGGAGAAATAGTATTTCCCAGACATGCAAAAACTGAGGAAATTTATCCCCACTAGATTCGACCTATAGGAAATGTTCGAGGGAGTCCTACATCTGGAGGCAAAAAGTCAATAATCATTATATGGAAACAACAGTATAAAACTCACTGGTAGAACAGATACACAAGAAAGAAAGAGAAAAGATTCAAACCTTGTTGCTCTACAGAAAACCACCAACCCACAATGATAAGAAGAAGAAAGGAAGAAAGGATATAGAAAACAAGCAGAAAACAGTTAACAAAA